AGAGAGAGAGAGAGAGAGAGAGAGAGAGAGAGACAACGACCAACTAATACGACTAAAATGAAATAAATAGAGTTCTCTATTGAACAATTTGATCTGAAAACATTTCATTAAAGTCTCTTGACTAGATCTAGAAACACAATGATGTTTCTAACCCATAGAACTCACCTGGGCAGAGAAGGTTTGTTATTTGCACGAGCACCAAATCCTGCACTGGGTACATTCACCTTTGTGGCCACTGTTTTGTGTACAGAAATTCCATTGACTGTTGGTGTGGATCTCTCTTTTGCTGAACCTGTTCGTTTTCTCTCCGCTCCATCAGAAGTCTCAGATCCAGACACAATGGATTGTACACTGTCCATCTTTTGTTGATTTGTATTTGCAAGTTTATACTGATGTTGTTGATTTGATCGCAAATTTGCAATAATTGTCTGTTTCTGTAATTCTCGTTTATTTGCGTTAGAAACTGACTGAGTGTATTGTGCTTTTTGATGATCAGTATTTTGAATAAGACATTCTTGCTGGTTTGATGGCAGTGAATTGCTTTGATGAAAAGATGTGTTTTGAGTAGCAACAGCAAGAGGAGAGTACTGGTTATAAGCATAAAACCTACGTGAATCCAAAAACTCACTCTTTGTAGCAGATGAATTGGCAGTATCATAGCACACATGTTCTCTTCTATATTGCTCAATATACTTTCTGGGATCAGCATAGTGCCTGAACACAAAGTCCTGGGGATATCCTGAAGAACGGCTTCGGGAGTCCCGTGATAAAAGAAGGTCTCTGCTAGCTGCCGTAAGGCTCCCTCTCGTCTTAGTGGTTCCTTCATTTTCATGTTTCCGGTAGACTATAGTTGGATTAGAGCTCCATCCACAGATTTGGAAATTCTGCAACTCTTTAAATGATTTGTTGGGAACACCTTGACTGGGTTTTGCCGATGAGGCATTGCTGGTTGGGAGAAGGCCCAATGACGAATTCTGGATAATAATTCCTTTGGTTTTGCTCGACTGAGCTTGGATAGCTAATGCCTCCTTTGCAATAGTATCTTCATCAGCCTCCAAAAGTTTAAGCTGTATTTGTTTATCTAGAAAAAAGTTGAATTCATGCTTGCCATTTTCTTCATTCATGACTCTAACATGGCTGTTTAGGTTTTGAGTATTTTCGTAAATTCTTTCAGTTGGTGAGATTTCTTCACGGTCATAACGGCTCTATCCAGTTTTATTCCATATCCACGAGTCACAATCCGTCCGTTCCTCTGTACCGTGTACCACACCCACTGACTGACTTACAACTGAAAATCTCGCACGGAGCCAAACTTGGTCGGCAGGCACGCTAAACTACTGCTTCCGCTGTTCTATTTTTTAGCCTACCGCCTGAGAACTATATTTCTATAATCTCAGTCATTTCTTATAAACAGTAGTAAAAAGTATTAAAAAGCTATTATATGCTATTGAAAATAGTTATATAGCTTCAGCAGAGTCAAAACATGTCTTAAAAGCTATTGAAGAGAAAAGAAAACGCAATGGACTATGGTGTCAAGCACCACCACTTCAATAGAAAGAACATCTAATTTTTTGCGACTTTAGCAGATGACTAAAACCCTTTCAAAACTATGGTACCCTCACAACTATTGAATCAAAGTTATAGTCTAACAATCTGTTGAAATATTAAAATTTCATATTTATGTATTGAAAATGATATTTACTTGTCGTAATTATAAACAGGAAACGACCCAAACTTTGGAAACCACGCATGCGTTGTAGCGCTGAAGTAGCATTCCTGTTTACCTCAACAACACACAATCAAGAAGGGATCAGACAAGCTGTCCTCTATGTGTGTATTCCTCCTTGTGTTACCGGCATTACCCCTCTTCAAAACACGATAAGCATATCACTTTCATCACAGCTGATCACATAATTGATTATGTGTTTCCTGCATCATTTTCGTTGGGGTATGAAGTTGTACTGTGCGAGAGAGCGAATGCAAAATTAATTGTCATTTTGATTGATGAACTTTTTGGAAGGAAATAGGAATCTAGATTTAGGCCTATAGATCTAATATACAGATATAGAAATCTAGATCTAGATCTAGATCTAGATCTAGATCTAGATCTAGATCTAATAAAATATCTATAGTTGTTATACTCGACCTGTTGTTGTGACGTTGTCAGTGAGTTAGTGTTGATGTTGTGTGTTAATGGGGATTGTTTTTGATTAGAAAGTGGCTATTCTCACCCGCCCGGAAGTTCTCGCAAGATCAACTCCTCCCCTCTTCTTTCTCTCTCTGTCTCTTTCTGAATACTGTCTATCGGTGTGGACGATCAAATTGACCAAAACAAAGTTAAAAAATGATGTTCAAACACAAAAGTAAATTAATTTGGTTGTCTACAAAGATGCTACGGCTATTTAACTTTTCGAATCGAGCCGAACTACGCGGGTCGCCATTTTGTTTTGCCCGGAAATTCTCGCGCTAGTCCTCTCTCTCTTTCTCTTTCTCTCTCTCCACTGCCCACAGACAAAATTGTACGCTTTTAGTAGGCTACAGTTGTAATGGAACGTTTGTTCACGGCACAGAATTCTACAATTTTTCCTCACAGTGTAGAATTCTATGGTTTAGGGTGAACGCAAAATTTGGTGAACGCGCACCGGGTGAGAATAGCCACAAGACTCGCCTTCACTATTCTCACTCTGGGTGAGAATAGAGGTGGCCTTTTGATTACGAAGTGATTATTCGGACTCGAGTCCGAATATGGAAAAATGTTATTCGGACTCTGATTCTTGTCCAGCATGACATCACTTCCGACTTCCTGTGACTCGTGAATTCGGCTTCCTGTCCTGCCTCACTCGTGACTCGCCTCAGGCTGGGTAGAGACCGGGATCACTTCGAGCAAAAAGGCGTTTTGTGCAGGAGCCGAGTTTTAATCTTACGATGAATTTGAGGCCGGCCTGAAAAGTTATAGCGCTTCTAATAAATGTTTATTTATCAAGAGGTCATCAGAAGCAATTAAAGATGGCTCGTTAGCATGTGTCGGGGTCGGATGGGCGGCCTGCACACGTGTGGCTGTGTGCGTGTCGGGGAGGGTGGTGGGGGGCACTATCGGTCCGGGCTTTGAACGTCGCATAAGCGTCGGTCTTTTTCCCCCTGGCAACTTATCATTATTACAATAATAAGCTAGTCTTGACGTAGATCTACGTAATGAATACGTAATGAATTGTGCGCTGGTCTATGGAATCAAAAGTTGCCGTATGCTCAGCTCTACACAGCAACACAACTTTTTCTTGGTAAACAATCGATATGACACAGGCTTGTGTATTTGAACGAATCGGTCTTTTTTTTTTTTTCACAGCTCATAATATGCCAGGTGGTCTGCAGATCTTCAATGGGGCCTTCAACAACATCAAGGAAAATGGGAAGCGCGGGGGGGGGTGGGAGGGAGGCGTATCAATGAGGTGGCGGGCATTGGATCGGCAGATAAGGTGTGGGGGAAACTAAAAAATGGCGAAAAATTGGAAGCACTGAACGTTAGATCTATAGAACGAAGACACTTCCTTTTTTCCGGACCCGAGTCCGAATAACATTTTTTCATATTCGGACTCGAGTCCGAATAAGAATTTTTTTTATTCGGACTCGAGTCCGAATAACGACGGCCTTTTGATTAACTTAATGTTTATTTAAAGGTAGTGTCAATTGCCACCCAGTGACGCGGTGGCAATTGACAAACATTGACTTTTTGTCAATTGCCACCGAGTAAATTGGAGCTCTTTTGCGTTTGTGGGTAGATCTAGCTTATTGTGCTCGAGTCCTCGGTGTTGTGCGTTCGCCTGTGTGTGTGTGTGTGTGTGTGTCTTTTCCTGACCCCCGTCCCCCGATTTATGTTCCCTGATATAATGTGAATTTCTGCTTGAGTTTATGTGCGTTTGTGACCTTTCTAGGCCTACTTCTAGAATTGCCTGTGTTGGTTCTACACCAAAGTGTAGGCTAAGGCTAGCCTAGATCTAGATCTAGATCTAGATACGTCTCATTGAAAACAGGCCAAGTTGGTACCGTAGCTCTAGACTAGATGCTCGTCCAATGAAATTAGTTAAGAACAAATTGACTCATTGGTCATACATTGTGTATAATGCTAAAGATAGTGTTGTTTTCAGACTTGACACCGCTTCACTTGGTGGCAATTGACAAAAAGTCAATTTTTGTCAATTGCCACCGCGTCACTCGGTGGCAATTGACGCTACCTTATTTAAATTGAATTATGGGTGCAGTCTCATGCCTCCATTTCCTGGTGATGTGTGTTATATTTTTGTTTTCAGACTTGGCTGTGCGTTTGATTTTTAAAGTTTGTAGTTTGTAGGCCTATAGTAGGTAGATCGTCAATTGTTTACTTTTTCACGTTAAATTCCGGCCGCCCCTAGACGATCTAGATCTAGAACTAACTCTATGCATCCTCGAATGGATGTTCAAAACATTGTATACGTAAACCACGGCAATTTCATCGTTTTGTAGGTAGCAACATACTGGCTTTAGGCCTTCCGTACAAATTTTGATGGCCATTGAGTTCGTTGAGTTATAATTCATAGAGTTCAGTCAGAGTGGTCGCTCGTTACGGAAGTCCCCAGAATTAAACGCGAGAAAGTAAACCATTACCAGTAGATATAGTATAGGTCAGGCCCACTCTGTCATTAGCCAAGCCCATTATTTCTATCATCATTCATTGGTCCTAAATATAGGAGGACTACTTTGCATTAAGTTTTTTTGAGTTTAGACTAACATTTAGTCAGGGGCAGATTGTGTTACATCCTGGCAATGTATGACTATTGAATATATGAAATGTATGTGAGACTGTCAATGCGCTAACGAGACCATTGTGAGAGTAAGTAGATGCAGGAGGGTGAAGGACTCTTCATCAAGTGGGTCACGTTACAACAAAGTTTGCCAGTTTGATCAAAGCTATTGATATATACACTCATAACTTCATCATAGTTTCATTTAGTTTTGTGAATATGTTCATTACCTTGGAATCATATAATATGTGATGTCATCATAACAGGATTTTGCACAAAAATATTCCCAGTGGTGAGTTAGTTTTACATGACAATTAAAATAAATGGCTCTGTAGCTTTTACTTTAAAGTGAAAATATGTTAAAATGTGTTTTTTGCAAGAGTGCTGTGGTTAACAATGAATCACATTTTCAATGACTTATTTATAAACAGTATTTCTTTGGCTTTCATACTGTGTAGGCACTTTCAGTGATTTAATGAGAAGCACTGTGTGTGGGTCAAAGTGTTTCCATGAAGGAGGTGTGGAGTGCCCTTATGATCAGGAGTGTGTTTGTACTCTTTTTGATCATTTTGTGTTGAATCTACAAGTTATCTAGACGTTCTAGGTTAGGCTTGACACATATTGGTACAGGGACGGTATGGAGGACATTCCTTTCGTAGGAACCACCCTTGAACTGGTCTGGTTGAAGGACATAATGAGCCTTTCCAGACTGCAAGAGGTGCTGTCGGTTTCTGCGAAGGAAATCACACCTTGTACGTTTAATGTAAGACAGCTGTTATCTGCTTGATTTTTCACTTGATCTGGTTTCCACGTACTGCTGCAATTGTCTCAGTACAGTCCATGCCAGCTTTAAGCACGGTCATCGGGAGAAAGCATAAGCATGCTTAAAATGCCGAAGCGTGCTTGAGTGCGAAGTAGACATTGTTCATAATCCAGAGATTTTTAAGTTGAAAATTTCCTGAGTTATATTACCCTTTGTTCGTAAGTAGTGGTCGCGCAAAAGGATGGGCTGTCATTTTTACCCGCCATGGTAGTTTTTGTTTGTTTGTTTTGTCGAATCAAAGTAGTGGAGTATCTTTGGTCGAATGGGAAAGGAAAACTTAATTTAGATGGCTAGTCACGGTACAGCACGCTAAGCCTAGGCTTACACACTGCCTGTGCGTACCACTGCCCGCTGTGCCACATTCATCCCATGTCGCGAGTGATACATAATCAGGATTATCGGATAGCGAGGGGTAAAGGTGAAATCGCAAACAGCCCTCCTTTCCTGTCACCCCGACTCTCTTTGTATTTTTTTCGTCTGTGTGTAGCTTTGCCCTAGGCTAGATCCTATGTCCATGCACGCGGCTGTGTGCATCTCTCTGCCTTCCTCTCTGTGAATGTGTGTGTGTGTCCAACAATTGCGTTCTTTGTGTTTCACTTAACACACTCACTGCTGCGGTGTAGACTGTGTTCGAACTTTGATGGCTCATCATGAAAGTATTGACTGTCTTGTAAATGAAACGTGCCCAAAGCCGAAGTTACCATGCTTAAAGGCGTGTAATTTTTATAGCAAAAATTCGGTAAGAGCCATTTAGCATGCTTGCGTCTGAAACGTGCTTTATACCAGCGTGCTTAAAGCCGGCACGGACTGTACCTGATGAATTCCTGGAGTTTCAAAGTCATGAGGTCTTTCATGTGATTGTTGTAGTATTTTGCATGTTTCTTTTTCCTGGCTTTGATTACATGACTACTAACGGTCTACTTGATTTGGTTTGCAGAATGAGGAAATGTCTTCAGCTTTTTTCCCAATGAGCATCTCTGCTAGTGAAGACTTGGTCTTATTTGTCTGTTGTTTGGAAGTTGAGGATGCAGGTCACTGTCGTTTACCTTCATAAGGATCTGTTTCACAGTCTACACAGTTCTCTATGGTCTTTTAGACCTTGGGTACTGTGGACTGGCATATCTCATGCTTCATCTTCCATGAGGCTGTGAATTTCTTGAAATTTGTTGATCTGCTACAAATGGCATAAAGCAAGGTTGTGCAATGGCTCCAATGTGAGTGTGCACAAAAACTGGAAAGGCTCTGGTATGTGACCTCTTATTTGCTGATGACTGTAGCTATGGTCACATGCCAGACCAGCGTACAATAATGTATGGATTCTTTCTCCAGTGTATGTGGCAACTTTATGCTCACCATCAGCACAAAAAAGACTGAAGTCCCCCACTAACCTACTCAACAAACATTGCTCACCCAGTCATCATAGTGCATCATAGCCAGCTCTAGGCAGTGGAGAATTTTACCTATCAAGGAAATGCCCTTTGTGCTAATGCCAGAATTGAGGATGAGGTTACTTGCAGAACAAGCAAAGCTGGTTCTGCATTTGGTAGACTCAGAAATAGAATTTGGGACCACTCTGGTATACATGACAGAATCAAAACTCGGTGTGTATGATGCTGTTGTATTAGCAATCGCTTTATATATGGTATTGAGTCTTGGAGAAGGTACACGACACATGCCAGCAAGGTCAATGGGTTTTATGATCTCCAGTCTCTGAAGAAAGCTTGGGATTCACTGGAGGGGTAAGATCCTAGACACTGAAGTTCTTCAAAGGGCGAAACTGTCATTATTTAATTATTTTTATTATTATTAATTATGTCTACATGCTTGGAATAAAAACTCCCTCACCTTGCCATAGAGAGTAATATTGATTTTACTGTGCTTTGTAGCATCGATTACATCACAGGTTTTGGTGCTGGTGTAAACTAATGAAAAAAGGAAACCATGTTGTTGTTGAAAACAAATGGACATGCCGGTCATTTGAGATGTAGAAAGAGGAAAATGATCCAAATTTTGGAAAAGATGATTACACAAAGTAGGCTATTTTAGACTGTGCCATAATGGCTTTGTGTAGTCTGATTTCTGCTTCATATTTTTGGTATGACTGCTCTTTTCCCTTGATTTTGTGATATCACTATGGGTTATCATTGTGTTTTTTCTCTATTCCTTAGTCAAGATAACTAATCCCAGAGAGTAAAACAAGTTCTATTTTTCATTTTCAGGTCTGACATAACTACCGTCCAGCCATGCAAGATTTTGAAAGTGCAATGGAAACAGATGAGCTAACAGCTAAACCAGCTACCCCACGACCCCGCCAGAAGAAGAAAAGTACATTAGCAAAGTTGAAGGAAAGGAAACAGAGAGAGCAAAATTCCAATCCATCTGTGCAGAATTTGGAAATTCAAGATGAATTTGCTTCTGATCCTAGAACCGCTGATGGGATGGTCAAAGACAATGGGGAAATGCACTCAGCTAGTAATGAGAGGGTGAGTTTTCCGGTTGAGAAAAATGTGGTGCCGAGAAATGGAACCAAGCCCCGACCAAAACCGAGAAGTCGAGCGGTCTCGTCAGAGTCAAGTATGGACAATGTGGAACATAGCAAAGCTGGGGGTGTCTTTGACACTGATGAGAAAGACAGAAGGAGAGAAAGACGTTTGGAAAGGAAGGGCTCGTCTACTTCAATGTCTGATGCGTCCACGATTCAGCGGTTGAAAAACCTGAAGATGGGAGGAGAGCACTCGGACTCTGTGGAGTCTACCATCAGTCAAAGTGGGTTTGTGCCCAAACCGCCAATTACCCCTCGAACCCCTCGAACCACCCCCCGAACCCCCCGCGGCTACGTCATGCTGTCCAAAGGGGAAAAACGCAATAGAGAGCCAGGCTTATCAGGAGATGAGCCCGAAGTGGAAGAGAAAAAGAAAAACTCATCTAGTCCTCTAAATCAAAATAGTACTGTGAAAAGCAGTAATTCGTCTAATGTAGACTTAGACATTTATTCTGTGTGTTTATCACCTGGTGCTGTAAATTCTTCTAATAATAGTGTAGACGGTAATTTTGAAGCATCTCAGATCTCTTCTGAACAGGGAGGGAAATCTCAGAGACTTTTAAAGCGTAGAAATTCCAAAGAAGCCTTAAGAATGAAAGGGTCTGGCGTATCTCCGAGTGAAAAAGACAATGCCGACTGTGGCAAACCTCCCATTAGCCGTAGTGCCAATAGTGTAAACAGTGACAGGTCAAGTTCTCACCGAACTGATGGCGACAGTAATGCTGCTGTAGGTGGTTTTCACACCAGCCCTTCTGACTTGTCTCCATACACTTCTCCAAGGGATAAATACCTGAAGACAAGGAGCAGAAGCAAAAGTCCTTCTTCCACCGTCCAGCGACAATCATCACGGAGATCAAGCTGTGATCGAAAACTCTCCCCAACTACAAGCAAACCGTCATCAGAAACAGATTATGAGTCCCGCGACAACTCACAAACGACTCACGCTTCACGTTTTGGCCAGATTCTCCTGGCCGACCCCGAGGGCAGCAACAAAAGCACACAGGTCATATTCTCCTCGGAGAACCCACACACCGTGCGCTCCATCGCAACTCCTCCATCGTCTGCTCGGTTAGAACCAATCAACTCCAAATCTCAGCCCCCACCCATGACAGATGAGTTTTGTTCTCACAGTATGAGGACCACCTATAGAATTGACCCCAACGCGCGGCCAGCCACAGGCTCCTGTAGAGGTGCAGCAGACAAGTCGGACTCGGGCACACCCAGCACGGCTGATCGCCTGTCCCAGAAGTCCTTTGCGTCTACCAGCGTGTTGCCTGTCATCACCACCAAGGAAGCAAGGTCTAGGCAAGTAGTGTGGGAACTATATATCTTTCTCTTTGGATAGTACTATCTTCATAGTATCCGTGCTTGTCAATGGCTTTGATTAGATTATGTTAGTGTTAGAACAAATTTTTTTTTTGTGGTCTAAGTTTTATGAATAGGGGTGCTAAAAGTTTGCTATAAAATTGTTACGTTTTTACTCTTTTTGTTTTGAGTTTTGCATATCTTCCTGTTATTCCTGGTCTGTGTGTTTATTTTGTGTCACATCAACCCCGGTTCTACCCGTTGTTAGCACTGATTTGACAGGGCTGATGGTCCTAAGAGGAGGTTTGAACAATTAGGAACATACCGCCTGATCAAACTATTTTTGATTTTTTAAAATTTTACAACCCAAATAGAAACTGTAATAATCACCATTTTTATTTCATGAAACAGGAGTTACCTGGAGGGCAGCATTAGCGAGGGCACCACGTCTCTTCTCAGTGCGGAGGAGCTGGACCGTTATTTCCCAGAACGGAAAGTGCACGTGTTGGTGGGCACCTGGAACATGAATGAACTCAAGGTTTGTTTTTGTTTGTTTTAGTAAGAGTTTTACGGCACTTGCAACACAATAAAGTCAAATAAATGCCAAAGATTAGAGGTGTTACTAGAGAAACGTATCCCCCCCCCCCCAAAAAAAAGGAGGGGAGAAAAGGACGATAGATGTTTGATAGGAAAGAAGCAGCAAACCACAACACCATAGCACCCACCAACCACCCACAAGGAGTGTTTATTTAACTCAATCATGACTACAGTTACAACACATTGCAGCACTCGGTACCATGAGTTGTCATCATAAATCAAAGGAGTCAACAACAGTTTCCCAAATTCAAGCATAACTTCTTTTAATGGAAACTTTTCAAAACTGCCTGTTCAAAAAGTAAATGTGTGAAGAATAGCTGAGCTTTGCCAATTCTTGTATAAGCTGTTTGTGCAGAACTATCAGGGTTTTTTTAAATACTGTTTCATATTACATCCATAGACATGCCGCACCATTTTGGTCAACTTATATTTAAAGATGTAGTCCCTAATCAGTGATTTCAACTTGCAAGATATCTATTAATGCTGATTAATACATTTATTCCATTTTGTTTTGTTTTTTTATTCCTTATTTAAATATTGTAGAGTCTCTTTGCTAAAGTTGTCATATTGATTTTTCATTGATAATGTATAGAGATTTATTATCGTTGGTTGAGAGAGCTGCAGTGTTTTGAGCTTTTGGTTAAAAATTTTCTTTCCCTGTCTCCAGGATGTGGTGTCATCTTTAGACGACTTCATTCTTCCAGAGAAATGTGACTATGTTCAAGACATATATGCCATAGGAACCCAAGAAAATGCCATGAACAAGTAAGTTGGGTTTGCTTGTTAGTTTAATTTATATATTTTATTTTGGGGAATGGGGGGGGGGGGGGGGGAGGGTTTGCTATTAACATGCATATTATCTGTTCCTATAGACATAATACCTATGCCTTGACTTGTACAGATTTGGGAGAGCTTGGAGATGGTGGGGGGGGGGGGGGGGGGGAGTGAACAGCCCAACCAATGTTGTAACTTTATAATAAGAGTGTTTAAATTTGATTTAAAAAATGAAATGACATATCCTACATATGCTACCCATATTGTAACTTTAAAATACACCAATAAAAAAATTACAGGTAGTTGGAGGGTGCTACATGTAGGCCCTACTTCTTTTCTCACCTCGTATTGTTTCTGTCTCTCTTTCTGTCTTGCTTTTCTCCTGGGTTAAACGGTGTGTCATTATATCAGTGTGCTTTTTTTTTACTCAAGACTTTCAAATTTGATGTAACAAATAAAACACCACTTATGGAGTGTTACAGCTTGCAGATCATAAGTGGGTGGTCGGCAGGTGCTCTGGTGTAGTTTGCTTCTTCTTTCCAATGAAACATCTATCGTCCTTATCTCCCCTTTTTCTTTTTTATGTTTGTTACTCTCTTGTAACACCTCTAATCTTCTAGCACTCATATGACCTTATGCAGTTGCAAGTGCTGTAAAACCTCTGCTAAAACTAAACAGATCATGACATGTCCTTACTTTACAGTGCTCACATTTAATCCAGACCTATGACTAGCACTGCTGTTGTAACAGTTGTTGTTGTTGTTGCATTTGTCCAGGAAAGAATGGGAGGTGCGTCTACAAGAGACGTTAGGCCCGTCCCATGTCATGTTCCACTCGGTCACTCTGGGCTCGCTGCACCTAGTGGTCTACGTACGCCGGGACCTCATCTGGTTCTGCTCCAGTAGGTTTACCTACCCTTGTTTAGCTTTTGAGTTGTCGCTGTCACAACGATAAAGTAATCTGTCACACAAGCTCGGTCCCTTTGTTGTTTCCTTGTTTGACATCTCGCTACCTCAGAATTACGAAACCCCCCGGGGCAGTGTCACTGACTGTAGTGTCTTTAGGCCATTCCCAAAGGGGGGACATTTCTCGTTCAAGCACAGTAGAATTGTAAATGGGCTGATTCATGTCACGCTTATAACTGTGCCTGATCTACAACAGGGAACTGCTGCTTTTTCTTTCCTTATCCTTACTATTGTAATTTTCCTCTACTTCTTTTGAATGTTTGTCACTCTCTTGTGACCTGCTATTTTGGGGTGCCTTGATAGTCAAAGTTGACCTTGTGCTGTGGAAGCTAGAGAGGTGAGCAGAATAAGTCTGATTCCCTGTAAAGACTTCTCTGTTGACGCCCACCCCTTGGTGCTCATATGACCTTATGCAGTTGTGAGCGCCGTAAAACCCTCTACTATGAAAAAAAAAGAATTACGAAGTTTTATCTGCTCAGTACCTAGTTTTGAGAAATTCAACATCAAAGATTTTGAATTTCACCACATGTCAAGCTTTTTCTTATGCTATTCTTTGAATATTTTGATGACGACTTTGAATAATGGTACGATTTTGACAGAGCAGATAGAACATTTGGTTTCTGACCTCACGATCTTAGTAACTCAAAAACGACTAAAATGTCAGATAGAACTGTGTAATTCTGAGGAAGTGACCTGTATTGTCGCCGTTACAATGTAAATCGATCCCATTGTTGTCCCCTTGACACATGTATTGTTGCCATTACCTGGCAACTCTGTCCTTTTGTTATCTGCCCTTGCTTGACTCTTGTGCTGCTTCCGTTACTCTGTAACTCACTTCCACTGAGGTCATGTTCTGATACTATTCCAAAAAAACCCCCCCACCAGTATGCTTGAAAATGAAAATTTTTCTTTTTACCTGTTGTCTTCCAAAGTAATGGGATATGATAAAGATACTAAATAAATGACAAGAGATTGATTATAAAATGAAGTTTTAATTCAAATAGCACTTAATGTTTCGAGGCTTATCCCCATTTTCTGATTGTTGTTGTTGTTGTTGTTGTTGTTCTCCTCCTCCTCCTCCTCCTCCTCCTCCTCCTCCGCTAAATCTTGATCTAAATCCTCATCAATGTTTCTTTTGATGATGGCACAGGAAGGTATGACTTTCTGTCCTTTAGTTGGATAACATTGAATCCTCAGAACATGTCACAACTTCTGGTGTTTATGTTTTCATGATTGCACTCTTTGCCGTTGCATGCAGATGACATTAGTTCGGTTTCTGCATTTTATTCTGGAGACTGGAGAAAGTTATCTTATCTGTTGTATGTCTGCTGGGTTGCTGTGTTTCACTCTGCTCGGATTGGCCCCCCAGTGGTGTGGTTGAAACAGTTGATCTAAATGATGATGATGGGGATGTAAAACATTCTGTTATTTTACAATCCTTTCATGATGTAGAAAACTATTCTGAAATATTTCCAATCCGAGATGTGTGTGTGTGGTTGGCGGGTGCTCTGGTGTGGTTTGCTTCTTCTTTCCTATCAAACATCTATCGTCTTTATCTCCCCTCCTTCTTTTTTTGTGTTTGTTGCTCTCTTGTAACACCTGTAATCTTCGGCACTTATATGACCTTATTGTGTTACAAGTGCTGTAAAACACTTGCTAAAACAAGGTGTCACATGTGTGTGTTTCAGCCCCGGAGGACAACGTGATCTCTCTCAGAGCGATGACCATGGTCAAGACAAAGGGAGCCATTGGCATCTGCTTTACTTTGTTTGGCACCTCTTACCTGTTCATCAACTGTCATCTCACCTGTACGTGGATTCTTCTTTTCTTGTTGTTTTACCTGAGTGGGTTGTTGGAGGGCGCCTCCACTCTTAAGTTGATGCCCTATACGTTACCCCAGTGTGTTTTTTAGAATATGTAATCTGATCTTGAAACCATAGAAGTTGCAATTTTTGTTTTGGTCTATTCTCATAATTTTTGCAGACCTTTTGAAAATGAGAATATAAATTCACAACTGTTATTAAAAAATTTTAAAACTAAAAGGAGTAAGCCTAATTTCCATTTTTTTGCACCCTGCAGAGCAAGATCAAACGAAGATAGGCTTTTTTGGGGGGAACAGCCAGGACTATTTAGAATAGCCAGGATGTTTTGCTGAACTTCAAAATAGCTGAATTCACAGGAAAAAAATGTCCTGCTCCTCAGCTGACAGAGACAATGACAATTCGAGAAAGAAAAACCGCCTGGGAGATTACTGCAAGGTCATCCAGGAGATGAAGTTCCCCAAGTCCATGTGCAACTCGCTCGCAGCCAAAAAAACAGGTGAGAGTTGCTGAGGGTTACTCACAACTAGATATTTTTACCTATGATCTGTCTGAACATATTTGTCTTTGAGAATTATTTTTTTGTAAGTTCTATTTAAACATTTTGTCTTTGAGACTTATTTTTTACTTATCTGAACATTTCGTCTTTGAGAATTATTTGCACATTTGTTCTATATTAAATATATTTGTCTTGGAGGTTTATTTTTACATATTGATGGAATCAGCTTGCACTAAGAAAATTAATTCCATCTTTTTAGACAACAAACATCCCTTGTTCCCTCAAATAAAAACATCAGTCAGAAGTAAAACACCCATGCTTCTGATCTGTAACAAAGAAAGATACAGAAGGTCATTTTTACCATCATCTATCAAAATGCTTCCATCTTAACCATCTATCTTGTTTAGTGTATTTGCGACCTTAGAGCATGCATCAAAATATCATTGAGTGTGTATCTAGCTTACGATTATTATTGTTTATATTGCTGTTCATTTATATTATGTATGTGATTGTAAGCCTACTTGTTTGTGCATGTGCGTGCACGTGTGTGTGTGTGTTTGTGTGTGTGTGTGTGTGTGTGTGTACTCGTGGTGGAACACCAAACCAATGTGCCAGGATCTGGACAATAAAGATGTATCTTATCTTATCTTATCTTATTATTATGTTCGATCCAAATGTATTATCTCAGAGGGTTATTTTTACGCTTGTTCTTTCTGAACATATTTGTCTCAGAGGATTATTTTTACGTTTGTGGTATCTGGACATATTTGTCTGTGAGAGTTACATACACATAGTTATTTTTATGCATGTTCTATATACATATTTCTCTGTGAAGGTTATTTGTATGCATGTTCTATATACATATTTCTCTGTGAAGGTTATTTTTATGTATGTTCTACCTGAACATATCTGTCCCTGAGGGCTACTCTCAGGCAGTTATGTTAACATATGTTCTATCTACAGTTATTTGCCATTTCCCCCCAGCTGACGTGACTGCCATGTTTGACTGTGTTTTCTGGTTTGGGGATCTGAACTTTCGCATCGAGCGAAAACGCCACGCAGTGGAGGGAAAAGTTCATCAAATCACTGCCGAGGAATTTCCCAATTTTGAAACATTGCTGGGTGGAGACCAGCTGCATAAATATATGACAGAAGGTGAGACAGTTAACGTGTACGTACATTATCAGGAAGACAGTTGTTGTATATGTACATTGTTGTGTGGATAATTGTTGTATAAGTATGTTGTCAGGTAGACAGTTGTCGTATATGTACCTTGTTGGGTAGACAGTTGTTGCATATATGTACATTGTGAGGAAGACAGTTGTTGTAATGTACATTTTTGGGCGGACAGTTGCTATATATGTACGTTGTCAGGTAGACAGTTGTTGTATATGTACATTGTTAGGTGGACAGTTGTTGTATACGTATATTGTTGGGCGGATAATTGTTGTATAACCATGTTTTCAGGCAGACAGTTGTCATTATATGTACATTGCTGGGTAGACAGTTATTGCATACGTACGTTGTCATGTAGACAGTTGTTGTATATGTACATTGTCTGGCAGACAGTTGTTGTTTATGTACATTGTCAGGTAGACAGGTGTTGTATATGATATGTATGTTGTCTTGTAGACAGGTGTTGTATATGATATGTATGTTGTCAGGTAGACAGGTGTTGTATATGATATGTATGTTGTCATGTAGACAGGTGTTGTATATGTGCATTGTTTGGTAAACAGTTGTTGTATATGTACATTGTGAGGAAAACAATTGTTGTAAAAAAAATATATATATGAGCAATTGCCAAAACGTGAGACTCTCTTGAGACTCAGTGGTGCAAAAAAATTTTTCTTACCAATTTGACTCTCTTTTCTGTCAGTCACAGATTGACATTTAGTGCTCATATTCCTAGAGTATCAGAGCAAGGAGATGTACGGATTTGGAGATATGGGTCTATTAGTTTGGCAACCACTGTATTTCTTGTATGTAACAGTGATGACAAAAACTGATAAGCAGCAAGGCAAATTATGGACTTTAAATTCCATTTGTTTAGTAAACAAAGACTTTGTACACTATGAACTCCATTCATCATGGTAATATAAATGACAAGCTTTGTAACAATGACGTAGTGCACAGAACATGTCATCATTGTTATGTACAAGAAAGGATACACATTGGACATTATCATTGACAACACATCACAATAGTGAAAGGCTGTACAAATACAGTTATCAAAGCCTCAGTACCAGAAAAACACATGTGTAAAACAATTTTTAAACTAATATGAGGCAAAAGCAAAAAATCAATTGAGCTGACCTGTACATAACAGTGATGACAAACATGACTTGTACATAACAATGATGACACAATGTACAGGAAAAGACAAAAGTCTTGCCTCCAGAGAGAAAAGCGCACTTTAAGAATTTTTTAAAAACCAGGAGAGGTTTCTTTTGCTTTGAAACTGATATCAGGTCATATCAAAGACAGTGTACGATCACAATTATGTTGCTAATTATGACAAACAGTACTCGTAAATAACAGTGATGACAAAGCATACTGGGAAAAGGTAAAATCATGCCTACAAAGAACAAATTTGCACTAAGAGATACACAGATCAATAAAGGCGTATTTTGCTTCTAAATGAATCTTGCATGTATGAAATATATGTTGAAAACTTATTGATATTAGCAATGATGACAAATATTACTTGTACATAACAATGATGACACAATGACACAATGTATTGGAAAAAGGTATATCATACCAACAAAGAACAAATGTGTATTTTTGAGTTAGACAGATAAACAAGGACATGTTTGTTTATTTGTTTGAGTAAAGAGAGCACACATTACTTTAAAAATGTTTGCTCTTAGGACAATGTAATTTCTAGTACGTCAGTCAGTCTTGTACGGCTGCATGACGACACCCCAAACATCATCACTGAGCACAAAAGCTAAATCTATAACCACAGAAATGATCCATCTCTCGAAGTTTGTTCACACATCACACTCTTGTTCCAGGAATCCAGTGTAAACACCGCAATTTCACTAAAATATTCAACAGAGTAGCCTAAAAACACGCAAAACAGCCCAGTACGTCACATTCAACGCAAAATTCTTGTGCGTCACCGGACGCTGAAGGCAATGACTACTTTCGTTTTTTTGTTTCCCCCGTTGCTTCCGTTGTTCTGGGGAAGCGGGTAAGGGGAAGTCACTCAAGAAAACAATTATATCCGGGCACTGTTGATGACCCGTTCAAAACAAAAGTGGGCGAAATTCGGACTTCCGGCACGTTGCAAATTGACGACAATAACGGCGAATGTTAAACAGTCGACCGAAATTGTAGATCTAGGAACCCGATTTTCCTTTCGCGCATCGCTGCTTTTGAAGTATTGAATTAACGACAATAGGCAAAAAGATTTAACCAGCTACGGTGATTCTACTGAAAAATAATGGTGTTTTCTGAAACACCTAGTCCTTGACGACACGACAGACGCACAAGTAATCGGAATTGTTCGTCTATTTGCAAACAAATAAACCGATTTCTTGAGCAAGTTAACCTTTCTCAATGACAAATGGCATAGGATCAAAGCACACGTAAAAAAAACCCCACCCAAAAGTACTAAATTTTGGACATTCTTGGAAGTTTGCATTGGTGTGCTCAAAATGACACTCCAGGAATCACTAAAAAACGAACATTTTTGGCACAAAATTTACAAACTCAAGATTATAAAGCTGACATGGGGTCTGAAACTGCTATTGCAGGTTCTACATCCTATATTTGACGTGTGTATACGTTTTGGAGGAATAAATACTAATGCATCACATTTTATGCACACTAATGTGAGATGTGTGTGTTTTTCCCCACGTTTTGGCAATGGCTCATATATGTGTACATTGTGAGGAATATAGTTGTTGTAATGTACATTTCTGGGCGGACAGTTGCTATATATGTACGTTGTTAGGTAGACAGTTGTTGTATACGTATATTGTTGGGTGGATAATTGTTGTATAACCATGTTTTCAGGCAGACAGTTGTCATTATATGTACATTGTTGGGTAGACAGTTGTTGTATATGTACATTGTTGGGTGGACAGTTGTTGTATAAGTATGTTGTCAGGTAGACAGTTGTCATATATGTACCTTGTTGGGTAGACAGTTGTTGCATATATGTACATTTTGAGAAAGACAATTGTTGTATACGTACATTGTTGGGTGGATAATTGTTGTATAACCAGGTTTTAGGCTGACAGTTGTCATTATATGTGCATTGCTGGGTAGACAGTTATGGCATGCGTACGTTGTCATGTGGACAGTTGTCGTATATGTGCGTCATTGGGTAGACAGTCCATCGCTTTAAAACTATTTTGTCCAAAGTGCCTCTTTACTAATTAAGTACACTTTGGACAAGATAGTTCTGAGGCGACGAGTTGCTGTATATGTACGTTGTCAGGTAGACGGTTGTTGAATACGTGCATTGCTGGGTGGGCAGTTTCTATATACATACATTTTTATGGCAGACAGTTTTTGTATCGTCTGGCCTGGCGTACAATTTTATATGACACGCAAGATGATTTTAAGCTAGTTTTTCCAGCTGATTAAAGAAATCTGCCTGTTCATGGACAGTAAAAGGAAAAAGACTCTATGCACTTGTTATCAAGAAGAGATGCCAATGCAAGTTCTTGAGATTACTAGTTACGCTGTATAGACAGATCAGAGAATTAAAAAAATTTTTTTTTTGCTTCCAGGAAAGATCTTTGCAGGATTTCAGGAAGGTCGGATCAACTTCCACCCGACGTTCAAGTTTGACGTGAACCACGACACATACGACAGTAGCTCCAAGAACAGAGTCCCTTCTTACACAGTGAGTCAGTGTGTCTGATGTTGTTCTTAGTGCACAATAAGTCAGTCTGTCTGTCTGTCTGTCTGTCTGTCTGTCTTTCTGTCTGTCTGTCTGTCTGTCTGTCTGTCTGTCTGTCTGTCTGTCTGCATGTCTGTCCCTGTCTCTCTTTTTCTCTGTGTGTATGTGTCTGTGCGTGTCTGTCTGTCTGTCTGTCTCTCTCTCTCTCTCTCTCTCTCTCTCTCTCTCTCTCTCTCTCTCTCTCTCTCTCTCTCTCTCTCTCTCTCTCTCTCTCTCTCTCTCTCTCTCACAGAGTGTTTATTTGTGTCATTTTCTTGCTCTCTGTCTAATATAGTATGATGATGATCCAATGACATTTTACCATTCTGGTTCTTACTACCTCGTCAGCTACACGATCTTTATACAAGATATCATGGAGTTTGCAGAAAAGTCTCATTTCCAGCGCCGGTATCTTTCTTTCAGTGTCTGCTGTTATGGTTCACGTTTCATGTGCATACTTAAAAATAGGGACCTGACTAGGGGAATGCAACAATCTAATCTTAATTAAAAGCTGACATTGATGTTCTTGTCATTCCAGATGATTTTTTTTTTTTGTACCCTGCCCAATTCTATCATCTGGCGCTTTTGTGTTTAGTAATAACAATCAACTGTGCAACATTTTTGGTTTTGAACTTAGCTGTTAGTCTTAAAGTGAACACACAGGAAATTGTTTTACATATAAATAAATACATGAGTAAATGAGTAAAATCCAGATGATTTTTAGTTAGGTCACTGCAGCTGAGGCCTGGGCTATCCAGGAGAGTGAATACCTTGGTGTTGAAAAGATACAGACCTTTGGAGAAGTGAATATACCTGTAGTAATTTTTAAAAATCAGTTTCTGTGTGCAGGTCATGCAGTGACCATGAAGAGTGCCATTTAAATTTCAGTGGCCTAGTGGTTAGGCTCTCGGACTCGCAACCGTAAGGTCGTGGGTTCGAATCCCGTCAAGGGCCCGACGTTGTGTCCTTGGGAAAGGCACTTTACACGAATTTTCCTCACTTCACCCAGGTGGGAATGGGTACCCGGCTTTAGACAGCGAAAGATCTTGTCAGTTTGTTAATGTTTTAGCGCTTAATCGGCTGCTTGCACTGTATGCTTCCTGGGAAACTGATAATGTTTCGGAGTGTTCTATGGTCTGCTGGGGTAATAATATAGTGTAAAGCGCATAGAGCCTGCTGCTGAACGGGGATATGCGCTATACAAATGCTATCTATTATTATTTTTTACCAACACTGACAATGCTTTGACCTTTCGCTACCTCAGATTTACAAAGTTCTATCTGCTTAATACTTATTTTGAGAAATTTTACGTAAAAATTGTTTAGTTTCACACAAGCTTTTTCGAATGCAATTCTTTGAATATTTTGATAACGATTCCGAATATTTTTATAGATTTTGAGAGAGCTGGTAGAAGAACATTTGGTTGCTGACATCATGGCCTTGTAACTCAAAATGTCCAAAAATGTCTGATACAACTTTGTAATTCTCAGGTAGCACGATGTTAAATCAGTTTATTAACTTTACGCTAACTTTACGCTTTACTTGCATTTGCATGTTCTCAGGATCGCGTCATGTTTCGCTGCAAAAAGAAAAATGATGTCACATGTTTGCACTATGATGCTGTGATGGCCATCAAGATCTCTGACCACCGTCCAGTCTATGGTCAGTACGAAACTGGAGTCCGACCGGGCAAAGATGAGTAAGTTGTTTCCCCTTACTACATATACAAACAATGACAACATGTTCTATTCTGGGCCAATCTAAGTGACAATAAGATTACAAAAAGGAAACCAGTATCTGTGATGTAGTGGTCAGGTGCTTTACTATTGCATGCAGTAGACCCGAGTTTGAATCCTGTGATGGGTAGATTTTTTATAATAGAGTATCTTGGTCTTTTTAGTGAGATGTTGTACTGTAGTCTCCGCCTAAATGCACGGTGCTCGGGAGGGCTCCTTAGCGTGTGTTTATACGGAGCGTGCGTTTACATGAACCTTTGCAAAGGGAGGAAGGGACGCAGTCATCTCATTGCCTTGATATTCTAGTGACCTCCCTTTGGGGTGGGGATCACTTTGGGCCGAAAATGTGACGACACGTGACTATTTTTTAAAGATTTCCCGACTGCGTTTAAGAATATATAGGCGTTGGATCGGGGGGGGGGGACTCATTGTAATGAATATGCACTATAAAACGTCGGGAACAGATAGCCTAAGAAGAGGAAACTGTTGGGGATAGTCATAGAGACGACGACGCGGCCACGTGGCTTTCCAAGCACCCACCCCGATCGTAAATTCATGGACAACATCAGAATCATAGATCTCTTCATTCAGAGAAACATTTCTCTTGTGATTCTTGAACAAGTACGTTATAAGAATATAAGGTCTTTGAGCGCAGCTGATTAGACTTACTTGGCTAATCTTAAATCCTATAGAGGTCTGTCTAGTGTTTTACGGCATTCACACGTGTTGCGCATCAGGCCTAGATCTAGGTCTAACTAAACATTAGGCCTACGAGCCTACGTGCAGTCACCCAAACACCAGTCAGAAACGTTCTCTCAAAATGCATTTCCCGTGACCTATCAAAAGACAGTTGAGTCCCCCCCCCCCCTTCCCACCCTCAACATTTCACAGACCAGCCATAGACCGAGACCTGTGTGTATGGAAAGTTGGCCAGTTGGGTGTGAAAACGCTGTCCATCTCTTTCTTAGTTCGGCGTGAGGGGCAGTCTCACCAAATATCCTGTTTTCTAGGCTTGTCTATGCAAGCTGAGCAGGTTGAAAAGAAAATTTCCCCTTGTCAAGCTTTACCTGACGGCGTGTTTCGCGGATCGGAGCATGCATTTAGTGGGAGTGACCATGCGTTTGTATGTCCTAATTATGTAGTAAAAAACCCGTCAGATGACGAAAGCGTGCGTTTGAGCGGAGCGTGCTTTTGTATGGCGTGCATTTAGGCAGAGACTACTGTATCTCTCTTTGCTTGGGTTGGCCCTGACAGGCAAGAGTCAAAGCCCACCTCAAAACAAATGATGTAAATTGTGTCAATGGGGGCATAAATTCACCTTTTTTTTTAAATCCACGAAAAGAAAAAGGTTGACCTTTCTAATTTTTAAAACAAATTGTATGGCAATGAAAGAGAGGAAAATTCTTATCTGAGACATTGGATTTGGGAGATGAAACTGAAATAAAAAGGCAACCAGACCAGTCTGTATCTTGGTGCTTGTACTTGAGAACGATATGCTGCCAAATTGTCTAGGTGTAATGCTTTCTGCAGATTTTGTTTGTAGAAAAATAAATTGATTTTTTAAAAATCTCTTGTCTGTCTGCTAGGATACTGTAGATAATCTATCCTATTCAGCCCAAGTTGATAAATGCAGCCCGTCTCCTGAATTATCTTGATTTTTTTTAAAAATTCGGATGAAAAAGGTTTTCAGTGATTAATCAACCATATTCTCAAACTCACATGTTTTATAGATGGAAAGGACTGTCTTTCTCATAAGTTATCTTTATGAACATTTTCAGTTTGAACATCTTCATTGTAACAGTCATTTTAAATGTCTCCTTTTTTTTTACCTCAATAGGAAAGTCCTCATTTTGTTATATTTATATATCTCTTTTGAAAGTCCACTTTGTAACTCCATATTTTGAAAGTCTCCATTTGATCTGTTCTCTCCCCAGCACGGTCTACTCGGCCGGTCACTTTGACAGAGCCGTTTACATGGAAGGTAACGCACAGTCGTTTTCTTTACTGTATTTTACACATGTTCTTGTTTCTGTCTTCTTTTCACCTAAACTGATACTTATACTGGGTAAATGCCCCTTTCTATATAGTAAGATTAACCAATTCTGCAAAGTTAACACCCTTTCAATATTTCAACTTAGACTAGCACTGGTCACTCTTTGAACAAACACAAGGTGTGTGCATGATATGAAAAATATATAATGAGAGGGAGAAGCTTCTTGGGTAGAGTATGACGATATTTTGTGATGTGTGAGTATATTACTACATTCTGTGATATATGTGAGAATATTTACAGCAATCTGTCCTGTACGTTCTGTGATATGTGTGAGAGTATTATAATATTCTGCATTCTGTGATACATGTGCGAATATTACAGCATTCTGTGATATATATGTAAGAATATTTCAGCATTCTGTGATGTATATGTAAGAATATTACATCATCCTGTGATATATATATGTAAGAATATTACAGCATTCTGTGTGTGTGAGAATATTACTGCATTCTGTGGTATTTGTGAGGAATATTACAGCATTCTGTAATACATGTGAAAATTCTGCCCCCAAGGGCCTCAGTGTAGAATGTAAATTTACCGAGGTCGCTTTTATTTTTCAAAAATTTCTTTAAAATTTCCTCATAATAAAAGTGGACAATAGAATCATGCTAGTTAGAGCTGTACTTAATAGGTTACATTGTTTTCTTTTCCTACACCCGTTAAACCAGAGTCTGTCATGTAGCAGTTAAAGCTCTTCACTGTTGCACGCAAAAGACGTGGATTCCATTTCTGAATGGGGAAGTTTTTACCGAGTATCTCTGTCTGTCTATTGGTATGCGGTATACCACACCTCCAGTGTTAGCTCAGACAGGCAGGGTCGAAGTAGCAACTTGATCCTCCCATTCGATCTAAATCGTATTGATAGGGGCATAAAATGTTTAAAGTCGATCAATCATCAATACCTTATTGAAAAAAAGGAGAACTCAAGTCAACAACGTTGCTAGAGAACCGTGCCAGTGGTGAAAAAATGCCCAGTTTTTTTTCTAAATGATGAAAAGGTTTTCCGTTTTATTTTCCACTTTGTCCTACGACATCTCGCCTGTGATATATTTCCTCAGCCAACAAGCATCCTCCACATAGCACACAATCACCCGAATCTTGTCTGTATAAAATATTCTGTTATATCTCACTCAATCGCTCAACATCTCACCTGTATAAATCCCTCCCGTTATATTCTACACAATCGCCTCCATCTCATTTGTATAAAATCATCTATTACATCCCACTCAATCTCTCGACATCACAGGGGAATAAAACCCTCTATTATGATCTCACCAAATGCTCCATATCTCCGGTGTAAAAAATTCTCCATTACATCCAACCCAATCACTCAACAACCCAGGTGTATAAAATCCTCTATTTATTACATCCCACTCAATCACTCAACAACCCAGGTGTATAAAATCCTTCACTACATCGCACTCAATTACTTGACATCTCAGGTGTATAAAACCCTCTATTATATCTCATCAGTTACTCTATATCTCCGGTGTATTAAATCCTCTGTGGGTGGTTAGCGGGTGCTCTGGTGTGGTCTGCTCCTTCTTTTCTATCAAAATTCTATGGTCCTAATCACTCCTCCTCCTTTTTGTGTTTGTTACTCTCTTGTAACACCTCTAATCTTCGGCACTTATATGACCTTGTTGTGTTGCAAGTGCTGTAAAACTCTTACTAGAACAAAAAAATCCTCTATTATATCTCACCAAATACCAGATGTATCTCGGGTGTATAAAATCCTCTATTTATTAGGTCCCACTCAATCACTCAACAACTCAGGTGTATAAAATCCTTCACTTCCTCTCACTCAATCACTTGATAAAATCCTCTATATATTGCTATTACTCTCAATCACTCGACATCTCAAGTGTATAAATCCTCTATTTATTACAGCCCACTTAATCACTCAACAACCCAGGTGTATAAAATCCTTCACTTCCTCTCACTCAATCACTTGATAAAATCCTTTATATATTACTATTACTCTCAATCACTCGACATCTCAGGTGTATAAAATCCTCTCTATGTTACTCTATCGCTTGACATCTCAGGTGTATAAAATCCTTCACTACATCTCACTCAGTCACTCGATAAAATCCTCTATATATTACACTCGACATCTCAAGTGTATAAATCCTCTATTTATTACAGCCCACTCAATCACTCAACAACCCAGGTGTATAAAATCCTTCACTACATCTCACTCAATCACTTAATAAAATCCTCAATATATTACTATTACTCTCAATCACTTGACATCTCAGGTGCATAAAATCCTCTCTATGTTACACTCAATCACTCAACAACCCAGGTGTATAAAATCCTTCACTACATCTCACTCAGTCACTTGATAAAATCCTCTATATATTACACTCAATCACTCAACATCTCCCCTGTGTTTTGTTTCCCCAGCCAACAAGCGCCGCGCGGCCAGCCAGCCCGTGAGCAAACGCGTGAGTTCTGTTTGTTCTCTTCAATGACCACAGTTGGCGGGTCGGAAGGTGGGAGCAAAGGGCGCTAACTCGCACACCATCCTCCTTCACCATCTCTTGCTTCCGATTGAGTCCCAATATCTTCTAACCGACTCCCTCCCTACGATTTTAAATGTCTGACGGCTTTTTAGTTTTTAAAAATTAGTTTTCTGTAGCTATTGAAACACAGAGGTTTTTCGTGTAAATTTTTTATTTTTGTTTTTGTTTGGTTCAGGATGGTGTCGTTTTGTTCGTAGATAGAAAAACTAATTTTCTCCCTCGGGGGCTCATGTTGAACATATTCAATGACTTTGTAGCCAACTAGACGTTTTCCTGTGTTTTCTTCTGCCTCTAGTAACTTCACACTTTTCTCTGCTTGTCGTAGAAGGTTTTCAGGTTTTATCTCGACGGAACAATAAAACTTCATTCATGACAAGTAATAAATATGTTTTATACAAACATGTTTTGGTTTTTTTCTTATACTGGTTACAGGCCACAATTGGCTTGATAGAATGTTTATTGTTTTTATTGGCTGTTTTTGTTTTGTTTTTTGGAGCCTTTGTTTTTTTCTTGTCTTTTATTACAGTCAATGGGATGCTTGTAGTTGTGTGTCATTAGTTTTGAAATATTTATACATAAAAGTAAGCAACCATTTTGTGTTTGGACATAATAACAGAGTTTGAGTGTTCAGATAACTTGCTGGAGGTGGGGTCCCAGTGTCTATGGTATAATGGTCAGGTTCTTTGCTGTTGCACTTAAAAGGTGGGGGTTCAACTCTCGAGTGGGAAAGTTTTTTTTTTTTATAGTGTATTTTAATCTGTTTGCTGAGATTTTGTATTTGGGGGGAGGGGGGGGATTGTTCTCTAACTGTGAGTATCCAAAGTGTTGTTTGAGGGTCAGTTACTTGATGGACATTCCAGCATGGGTCCTGTCTATGACTGGACTGAGTGGAAAGGGAGTTTAAACTAACCACAATCCTTTTATAAGAGGTAAAGATGTTTTTCTGTTGCCTTGAATTTGTGTTTTGCTTAACGGCTGTCCATTTATTTTTGCTATTGCAAGAATAGTTTTGCATTTGAAAATGCATAACGTGTTTTGCAGATTTGACAAATGGCATTTTTGTTTAGTGTTTTTGGAGTTATGGAGAGTGTTTTGATTTTGTCGCTTTAATTCTCTGTACATACAGAATAATTTATTGAGTGAGTAACAAAGTAACAGCTTTGAGCTAACAAACAAATGATGCTTGTTGTAGCATGAGCCAAGTGAATGGTTTGGCAAGTGGTTTTTGAGGTGGATGATTTAGCAGTTTTAAAGTTTGTATATAATGTTCTGTTTTCAGACAAATTTCTTTTGCCATTTTTAAAGATCTTGGTATGGTATATGTGGAAGTGTTGTTATTTGTTTTTGGTTGCATCTCGGTTGCTTTTGACATTTCTTCATGGTTTTCAGAAATTTGTTTCTCCTTCATTTTCATTCTTTCTTTGTTTTCATCCTTCTGTTCTTGATTCTTCCTTTCTGGAATCAAGGAAGGACTTATTTGTATTACACATCTTTCTATTGACACAATTAGTCTGTGACACTACCTGTAACTTTTACCTAGAGAAACCCTATTGAGGGCTACATGTCTGTAAAACCAAGAAAAACTTTTTTGAAGGCAACAACCTCACTGAAATTTTTTGAGAGAAAGAGATGTTGAAGGCCATATATATAGATTAGAGGGTCAAATTAACATGAAATGTAAGCATGCCAGTTGTTCATTTGTAGCTAGAAAAAAAAATCATCTGAAAACATTTTTGTGGATGGCTTAAAGACACGGATGCCCTCCAAAACAAACCAAGCTGTTAAAACGAATTGGCCTTAATTTTTATTCCTAGGTAGATAATTTCTCATGTGTTCCCTTCTGTGGAGTATTTCTTGTCCAGTACTTTTCGTCTAGAACTTTTGTTTCCCCCTATTCTCTTAAAACTCTGGTAATAATTTCAGCTGTTTGACTGGAAAAGCTGATTTTTTTCCTTGTAAATTCTTTCTAGGAATCCCAATGTCCTTTTGAAACACATAGATCTAGTATGAGATTGTGAAATACTTCGATCTATTACAAGGTTGCTCATAGCAAAGTTCTTCACTTTTGAGAATATTGTTTGAAAATCTTCAAGGTTGTTGGAAAGTGTTTTATGTTTTATAAGTGACCTTTAAAATGTCCTTTAGGGTTTCAAACAAGAAACATTTAGAGATACACTCTCAAGAGAGAGAGAGTATGTTTGTGTGTGTATGTGTGTGTGTGTGTGCGCGCGCGTGCAGGTACTTGTGCTAGATATGATAATTATATTATAGAATTTTTCAAATCTAGTCATTCATAGACTAGACAAGAGAAAAAAGTTACAAAAGAATGCCTGCTGGAGTAATGCCCAAGAAAGGTAATCTCACCTAGAAAAAGTTTGGATAACATGTTTTGTGATTTTTACTAGGGGACATTTGACTTTATATTGATGGTTCTAGTAAAGATACAGCAATAAAATAGATACTGCTGCTCATCCTCTTAACTTTTTTTTTTCATTTATCTCATTCATATATTCGTTAAAACAGCTGCCCGTTCTTTGTAAAACTGGTACCATGAGCCCAGTGAATAACTTTTGTGTCAAAGTTTTGTTTCTGTAAATAGTTGTCACTTTTAAAAAAGTGAATTAACTCTTTCTAGCCATATCATTTAGAGGCCTATAATCGATTACATGAGGCTAATGTACATATACAGTGGGTGAAACTTCTGTGTAAAACTGAATGTGTCATGTGTAAGGGTAAAGTGTGTTTGTGAACCTACTTGTAAGACAGAGAGAAACTATTTAGCTATTGTGTTGTTCCAGGTATGCTGGTTTGTTTGTGTAGGTTACTGGAAAACTGGATTGTCATTTTTCTGGGTATTATTTTACTTTCACTACCGTCTCGTGCCTAGGTATTATTGTGTAGCACTTCTTGGGGGTTCATTTTCATATGTTTTCGCACTAATTTCGACTTCATATATCCATCGCAAATTGATAGATTTTGAAAAATGTGATAGTTTTTACTGGAACTATAAATTACATTAAGCCTAATTTCTTTGTAATATTTCATGCGGATTTTTTTTTATCTGAGGGTTTCCGGTGGCATACCCCTTGTATTTCCCTATAATTTGATGTTTTGCATGCAGAGTTGAGATTATCTGGAAAATAATTGATTTTCAGCGGTTTTATTGATCATAAGTATGTTCTTCAGCCAAGAATACGGTGGTGTAGCCCCCAAAAGCAGTGCATCTGTGTGCAGGAGTGGAAGTAAAACTTAACCTTTTTCTGTGTTGTAACTTTTCTTGCCATATTGCTTCTCCCATGTCTTTTTCATACAGTTTGGGTTTTTTCCTCTTTTCTTATTGGTTTTGATTTGTTATTCTGTTTTTAAAAATTTCTCTCTTTTGAATACCTGTGGATAGCCCCAGCATATTCTTGTAGATACGTAGAAGTAGTAGAACACCTCTGTTAATACTTTTCTTTTTATTCTAGATTTAGTGCTCCAGTTTTATGGGCATTTCTGTTGTGACCTAATTGTGTCTCCAATATATAGAATATGTGTTCAAATCTTAAGTGACATGTTTGGAAGAGGAAAATGTAGTGTGTTCTAATATATATATAGATTGATAGATAGATAGATAGATCAAAGGACATTTGGGACTCACAATATTGAATATTAGGTTGGGTTGTTTTTTTCTCTGCACACCACAACATGCATCATTAACAGTATTGTTTGTAGATATAATAATAGTTCAATGAGCACATGATTACATGTGTTGGGTTGTGTTTCATAAGGTCACTGGCATTGGGCTTTCGTACTATTCTATATTTGTGTAGAGCACAGTACAGTGTGCCGATCTACTCCTTCATCTGTTGTGTGTGACGGAATGTTAAGCTGGTAACATCAAAAAGAAGGCGCAATGCTGCCGTGTGCAGCTCAAATTTCAGTTACTAAGAGGTCGATGTGAAAAGACTTTTGAAAAGGAAAATTTGCTGCAAGCGTGGAAATCCCAACTGTACTCTGTCAACAGTCATTGTTACCAGTTCGTTTTCATTCTAATCGTGCCATTTTTATCTTTGCCTGTGTGAATTTCTTGACATATTCTACATTTTAAGTGAGAGAGATTACTTGAGACTACTAAACTACACACTTTTTGTTAAAAGCAAGAGGAAAAATGAAAGTTGTTTTGAACAATTTTGACTTATCTAAAATATGACTGCCTAGTTTGTTTATAAAGGCCCAGTAGCTCCCCACCAAATTACTACTTGTCGTAGTGCAGATGGAATTACATGTGTATTTCTGATTTTCTACAATTATAGCTGTCTGATCTATTTATAGAGTAGCGATACTCACAATCAGACACCTGGGATATTGGGTGGCTTGGTTTTAAATTTCACCCGTTGTCTGTAACGTTGATTTGCTGACGTGCCATTGTTGACTTCTTGTAGGCATGACAGTATACTGTTTTTATGTTACTTTTGTCTACATCATGATCTTTGTAGAAACACTTGTGGAGTGTCATTTTATGTTTGATATTTTTCTAATGGCTTTTCTTTTTTTTTTTTCTTTCATTTTCATCTTTTGAGTTTTGCTTGCATGCCTGTCCTTTCTTATTTTTCTAGAGTAAACTGCGGTCAAAATGAGGCTAAGTCGCAGGTATTGCCATCGTGTGTGGAAGAGGAAATGGGCTCTCTTGTCTACCAACAGTGCGTGATGGGGCAACTTCCTGTCGCGACCTCGCCACTTGTCACACGTGTGCACCACGCAACCTAGTGGTGGAGCTTTTTGACTCTACTTTGCTCTGAAGGATCCAATTTGTTTTTATTGTTAATGTTTGTTCCAAAATACGCAGTAGTTGATTATATTTGTTGAAATCTGTTGTAAAACAAATGTATTCAAGATTTTCAACCTGTAGGTTTCTATGATCCTCTCACTTTTTTGGTTTGTATAAAATGCAGATCTGATTTGAAATTTACAATGTATAAAACTATTCTGAAGTATGTATTGATATGACACATTCATGCTTTTGTTTATGAGTGTGAAAATATGGATGTTAGATGAAGAAAGAATTTAGGAGTGTTGATCTAAAAGCGTAAAACTATTTCAAAATATTTATGCATTCAGTTTTTGCATTTAATTTTCATTAGTGAGCTTAAAAATATTGATGTATGAAGGAGGAAAAGTTATATGAATGTGTGTGTGCGTGCGCGCGTGCTTGCGTGCGTGTGTGCGTGCGTGCATGTATGCGTAACTGGTGTAGAAAGGAAAGGAAGTAGGGAGGTATAAATCTGCTGTTGTCATGTAGTATGTCGTCCATGACTCAAACAAGATTTGTGTGACTGCTGTGATATGTACATTATTTTTTAGTTCCTTGATTTTTTATACATGATGTAAACGATAATGATATATCATGACAGTTAGTTTGACTGAACGTGTGTTTTAACTCAACCTCTGTTTGTGACATATTTTCTGAGACCCCTTCCCTGTTCTGTTCAGCTCTCCTTCACCTTCTGCAGCAATTCCTGTTCGAAAAGATTCCCCAGAAGTATGCAAATAATTAACACAGAGCCCAGTTGTTTTAATAGCTTGATATGAACATATTTCCTCACTCTGAACTCTATTCTCAGAGGTGTGTTGGGAAACAAAACGTCAAAATTCAGTCCTCCCAGTTTCACGTTTTCCCACCCAGCAATTACTCGTAGTTTTTCTTTGGAACGATTATATTTTTGTGATTAATAGCCCAATTTATATCAATGTACTTGTGGTATTGAAATGAAGGGAATTTAATGATGACATCGAAAACTGTTCCAGTTTGATAAAATTCTGTCTACATCTTATTTTGATTGCCGCTGATGCATATTTTAAAATAAAACTCTTTTAATCTCTGATGTATGCTCCTTTTTGGTGGCAATGTTTAAAATTTGGAACAATAATAAACTTGTGGCTTTATTTTATTGTGTTCATAATCTCATAGTAGGGAGTTAATTATTTTTGATTTTATAAGCTGATAGCTGAACATCTTATGGCTCCGCATCTTATAGCCGTTATAATTGTTAACATTTTACAAGACTATAACTGAATATCTTATGAGCCATGAATCATTATGAATACAATATGAGCTGATAGGCAAATGCCCCAGCTTGTATTGTGTGCAAATACTCTAGAGTTATTTATGCTATTTGTTATTGTTGATATTACCATAATATTGAATTATAGTGCTTTAAGCCTGCCTCTAGCCCAAAGTGAAAAATCAAAGCCATTTATGTATTTATCATTGTATATATGTGTCTGTACAGGTGTTTGGTACGTAAATATTTCTGTTTATGTGTTTGGTAGTTGTGTTGATGTTGGAATATAAAAAGAACTAACTTGATCTACTCTATTGTAATTCTCACTAAAAATCTTTTTCTGAGTGAAGAGAAATTCATCAACACAGAAACAGCTGCAGTATTTAGTGCTGGCGTAAACAAGGCAACCTGAAAAAAAAAAGAGAGAAAGAAAAGAATCAAGAGCTCTAACAGTGGTGCCCTCCAACTACCCACTCACGGTACATTTATAGAAGAGAAATTTTTTAATTAACTTTGGATGTTTTGTTTAAGGTAGAAGTCATGTAAACTTAGGAGTTTACCACGTCTGTGGTATAGTGGTAAGGTGAATGGGTGTGGCACTCAAAAGACTTGAGTTCTATTCCCAAGTGGGGAAATTTTTTATCAAGTATCTACGCTGTGTCTGTTAGGATGTAATATCCCTCTCAACCAGGGTTGGAAGCAGCCTGCCTCCAGAATGATCGGAAAAGTGTTGATGGGGGTGTAAAAGATTTACAGTTTCACTTCTAAGAGTTTTGGTCACTGAATGGACACAGAAATTTGGTCAGTCTATAATATGTGTGTGGAGAGAGAGAGAGAGAGAGAGAGAGAGAGAGAGAGAGAGACTTTTGTTTTGTTTTGTTAAAATAGAGTTTTACACACTTGCCAGACGACAGATCTCAGATGGAACCGAGATGGTGAAACAAAAGAAGAGGAAGGGGCAGGCAGATATACATATATTATATATACTTGTTTATACATGTATCTTGTTCTCGTATTTAAGTTTGAATTACTTGGAAGTACATGTACATCTCGCTGCTACTTCCCACTCCTGTGACTATGATTCTACCATTCTATTTATTATAATGAATACTACAGGAATAGGGGGCTATTGACAAGTA